TGAGATGGGGTGGGATGGGACAGCCCACCTTCAGGAGCCACTCACCTCAGCCTGTGGGACCCCCTCGGGCGGGCGGCACTGCAGCAGCACCTCATGCTCCAGTGGCACCTCCTTGCCCAGAGGCTCCTGATCAAAATTCTTCCGTAGGTCTGGGAGGGGAAGGAGAAGCCAGGGGTTAGCAGCCTGCAGCAGGAACAGGGCAGCCTCCAAAACTTTGGTGAGCACCTCAGCACGAAGCGCCCTCAGGTCAGGAAGTCCCTCTGGCAGAGACAGCCAGGGCAAAACATGCCCTGGGAGGAAGGAGCTGAAGGACCATGTTTTCCAGGATGGATTTGGGGCAGCACATGTTGGATGATACATTTCATTTCCTCCTTCATGTGCATGCAAGCTTATACCCCATCCTGTCTTTTCCTTTTGGGGCTAAGCTCAGCTTATCCACTGTTTCTTCATCCCTCCCAGCAGAGCCCCTCAGGATGTGGGAGACACAGCAGTGTCCTGCTCCAGAGCCTGGGAAGGAGCAGGAGCATCACTAGATGGTGCTGCAATCCTCTGCTACAGCTCCCAGACCTCTCTCTCCATGTGTGAACCCTCTGCTCTGAAAAACACCATGGAAATGTTCAAGGCCAGGCTCGAGGGGGTTTGGAGCAAGCTGGTCTAGAGGAGGGTGTCCCTCCTCATGGCATGTGATCACTGTCTGTGATTCCATGGTTTTCCGAGTCTGTGGTTTTCCCAGCATAACCCTTCAGCAGCACAGCTGATCTACCACTCTGTTTTGGGTAATATGTTGGATTATTACCCCTCTAATAGCCAAATCCATTTGGGACCGGGCAAGCCTGGCTGTCCCCCTGTAGCTCTGCCATCTCATCTGCTAATTGAGCAAATTCAGGCATGCCCAGCCTGACTAACTGCCTTTGATCAGGCTGACAGCCTCAGGAGCAGCTCAGGGCAGTGACATGTGACAGCAGGGACTGGGAGGACACGGAGGCGCTGAGCGTGCAAGGTGCCATCCTTTGGGTTATTAAGGATAATAAACGTTGGGTTATTAAGGATAATAAAACCCTGGGAAGCGCTGAGCACGCTGCTGGGCACTGCAGTGTTAACCTTGCTAGTGCCACCACCCTGGCCAGTGGGCATGGTGACTCTCACAAACAAAGGTACAGCTGGGGTGGGGACAGAAAACCAGGGTCAGCCAGCGGGGATGGGTCATCCCAAACTCATCAGAAAGCAGAGAAGGGCATTTGGACCTGACAAATGTGCCAGCTAGTGCCACTGCCTCGCAGGTGGGGATGGCGACTCTGAGAAACAAAGCTACAGCTGGGGTGGGGAGAGAAAACCAGGGTCATCCAGTAAGGATGGGTCATCCTAAACTCATCAGAAAGTGGAGAAGGACATTTGGAGATGGGAGTGATGCCTTGTAAGGCTGGCCTAGAACAGAGACTAAATGGAGTTAAAGAATAAAGCAGGGATTTATCAGGAGGCCTCAGTGGATCCACCTTGGGCAGCACAAAAGCCCAGCCACGGCTGCACCCAAGATGAACCAAAATGGCCACAAAATGCACGGGGGTCACTTTTATAAGTTCAGCTCCATTTGCATAAGGGAGTTAATTGTTCAGTTCCATCTTTAGCCTATGAAGTCCCATTCTTTTTGTTTTTCTCTCTCCAGCCCACGTTGTTTGTGCTCTTTGTTTGTCTCAGGCCTGTTTGGCCTGTTTGTCTCAGGCCCGTTGTTTGTGGGCCTGAGATTTGGATCATTTGTCCTTGGTGCCCAGTTGGAGCAGGAATTGTTTTGTCTCCCTGCTCTGTGCAGAGAGCTCACCATCCCCTCATAAGCAGCCCAGAATTACACACGAAAGCAGCCCAGGATGTGAGGAACACAGAATCCCAGCCCTGAGGCCTGGGGCAGCACTCACAGGCAATGCAGACGTAGGCCCGGCGGCTCCTGGTGGTGCCGGCTGAGCTCCAGGCCACGCACTGGCACCAGTGTCCACCCTCTCATGAGAAGCCCAGAATTACACACTGGGGCAGCCCAGAATGTGAGGAACACGGAATTCCAGCCCTGAGGCCTGGGGCAGCACTTACAGGCGATGCGGACGTAGGCCCGGCGGCTCTTGGTGGTGCCGGCCGAGCTCCAGGCCACGCACTGGCACCAGTAATCCTCCAGGCCAAAGAGCTCCTCCACCTGCTGCCGGGACACCTCGATCTGCACCTCCCGCACCAGCAGCCCTGCAGGGGGACAGAGACACGCCATCCAGGAGTGGGGAAACTGAGGCAGCACCCCACAGTAATCCCTCCATCCCTAAAGATAATAGTCGCTTGTAGTTGTTCTAATAAATCTCTTCCCAAAAGAGCCGTTGGAGGATTGGGCAGATAAAAAAATTTGTGAGTGCCCTGTTGTTTCCCAAAGGGGTTTACAAAAATAAGCCTTTTCAGATTGGCCAGTGGCTCCTTGTACCATAATATAATCCTTTCCTCTCGGGAGTTTGCCATTTATTGCAGCCATGAGATACGTGAAAAGGCTCTGTTTCAGCCCGCACGTTCAAAGAAGGAGCTGGAGTTCCTCAGTTTTCAGTCTCAGAGTTGTTTATTATACCTTATCTATAAAAATTTTTCTCCTGTCCAGCTGAGTTCCATTCAGCAGGACAGACAAAGGCACTCTGATTGCTCCCTGGGTGGTGTTATCTATTTATACTACAAACAACATATAACATGTTTACAATTACTTCTCAATACCTATCACCTATGTTAGACTTCTATTCTAAACCAATCCCAAGTGGCAACATCACAGCAGAAGATGGAGGTAGAGAAGAAGAAGAAGAAGAAGAAGAAGAAGAAGAAGAAGAAGAAGAAGAAGAAGAAGAAAGGCTGGACACACCCAAGTCCCTCCATCTTGTCCTGAAAACCCCTATTTTAAAAATTCCAAAATCTACCTTTTCACCTAGTGATAACTTTATTATTACACTATTTAAACTTCTGTGGCTTTCAGGTTGGTAATTTGCTCCAGGGATCATAATCAAACCAACAGGTGTTCTGGGCTGTGTGCCAGGGTCTCTGAGCACCCCAACAGGGGTCCCAGCAACTCTGGACACCCAGAGGGATGTGCTGAGTTCCAACACTTTCCCATGGGCACCAGGGTTTTGTTCAATACTGAGTATGTTGGTCCTGTATCAACTAAAAATTTTACCCTCTTTCCTTCTTCCCCCAGCCCCATTGTTATAACCAGGGGATCCTCTGGGGTAGGAGATCCTGGTCCCCTTCAATCCTCTTTGACACCATCCTTCTTCCCTTGTCCCTCTTCCATTTGAGACATTCATTTTTCCAGTGCCCAAACTGTACACAATGCACATTGATCTTTGCCCAGTCTGGACGGACCTCCCTGGTCTCACCAATTTTGTCTTCCTCCCCCTTTCTCTGCTCTTACTACTGCCATAAATTTCTTCATATCCTGCTTATATGCTTCCTCTCTATTACTATTTACTCTCCATGCCTCATCCACGGATTTTTCTAGGTTTCTTACATCAGGCCCTTTAAATTTCTGAAGGTTGCACCTAATATTCACTGTTGACTGACCCAAAAATAAATGTACTAGTTATTGAATTTCCACATTTTCTCTAGGATCTAGAGTTGTATAGCGGCACATCGCTCTCTCAATCATGTGCAAAGCTGGAGGACAGAGGGTTGGAGCCTTCTCCTCTGGGCTTGGCAGAATCAGGAAGATTGTTCCCTCTGAAGGATGGTTTGGGATGAAGCCAGGGCCATGGATCACGTGGAAGTGCCTCTTTATTCCCCCCCAGGACCAGAATCTCTTCAGCATTTCTCAGGGCATCACCCTCCTCCACCAGCTCCCTCCCACATCTTCCCAGTATCCCAACATCCAAGCACCCCTTCCCACCCACCAGGGTTTGAAGGATGCTTTGTTGTGGGGAGAAACCTCCCCTGTCTGTGCCAAATACAAATATAACAAGACAAATACAAATATAACAAGACAAATACAAATATAGCAAGACAAGTAAAACCTTAAAGAAATCAGCCTGGGCATGGCAAAGGTGACACCACCACAACCAGGACATGCTCCCTTGCACTGCAGGAGCAACAATGATCACTACCAAGGGCAGGAGGGACTTGGGCCTTATTTTCCTTATTTTAAGCAATACCTGCCCATATTTTTTTTCAGTTTCTATTTTAAAAAGGCCTCAATTTCACAGTGATCGAGAGCCACACGCTCCCCAGCTGTAATTTTGTTACAGCTCACTCCCAGTGCTGTGAGGAGCAATTACTGTCTCCCTGCCACCTTCCTGCAGAAGAGCTGACAAGGAAATACAATTTATTTTGTCACTATTCAGGAGGAACAAAAAAAAAAAAAAAAGAAAGAATCACAACAAGAAAACCCCAAAAGCAAAGGTTTTTGGGCCAAGCAGTTTTGGGATTTTAAAAGGACTCAGAATACAGATATGGCTCCAATCCATCTTGGGAAGGGATGAGCACCCTGGAAAGGCAGGAAGCATCCTGCAAACGCCCAACTTCTGTTCCCAAAATTGAAGCCAGAGCTTTTGGCACACAGGAGTCACTTCCTAAGGGCTCCCAGGCACCCAAACAGAGCTGCCCTCGCCTCCCAGCCCTCCTCAGCCAGCTGAATGATCCTCTCTGACTTGGCCTATTTTTGCTTTCTTCCGCATGAAATGTTTTGGATCAGACGCAGTCAGAGCATTACTGAGCCAGGCTCATTCAAGACACGTCATCTTAAAAGTTCCCTTTTTTTTTTCCCTTCTTCTTCTTAAAGGTCCCTTTTTCCAAGCTTTTAAGCAAGGACAGTTAAAAACTAACCATGTTAACCCGTGCCTTTGTGCCCAGCTCTCCCCTGTGCCCTTTCCAGCAGCTTTCCCCAACAATGTCAGGTGCTGCAAATGCAGATTTTTTACCACCTTCAACCACTTTGGTTCCAGCTCCCTTTTCCTTAGGGAGGCTGCCAGGCAGAGATGCCCACAGCAGCAGCTTTTAGCATGCACCACATCACCTGCAGGCACTGCTGGTTCACTCCCTGATAGCAGCAATGCCATCTTTGAAGCCTGGATGAAGGAGGTTGGCGTGTGCTGCTTCCTCCCCAGACTGCAGGCACACAGCAGGCTGGAAGCTGAGAGGGAGATGCTGGACCAAAGCAAGCGAATTCCCACAGCAACAAAGGGATGCCTCATCCCTGGGAGTGCTCCAGGCCAGGCTGGATGGAGCTTGGAACGACCTGGGCTAGTGGAGAGTGTCCTTGCCCATGGCAGGGGGTTGGACTAGATCATCTTTCAGGTCTCTTGCAACCCAAACCATTCCATGAGTCTATGAAATAAAGTTATTTCTTTCCACTCTGCACATCACTAAGGCATCCCACAGGATGCTCCAGAGAAATGAGTCCTAACAACCACCTGTTGGATAAACAATCTCCAAACATATTCCACATGTGAGCACAACACAGGAGAAGCAAATGAAATAAGAATTTGTTTTCCCTTTTCTCTGAGGCTTCTCAGCTTCTCAGGAGAAAACCCCTGGGCCAAGGGATTTTTTTCAGAAAATATGACTGCCACACTGTGGGAAACTTAGAGGAAAAGACAATTAGACAAATTAACAAGGGGGGAATCACACCCAGGGCTGGACCACCCTGCTCAGATGTTGCCACCAGAGCTGGGAGTGCCTGGTGGTGAGTGCTGGCAAGCTGGCAGGGTGACAGGGCAGCTCCACTGCTCCCTCCTTGTCCTGGTTCTGTGATCTTCCCCTGAGCATCCTCCAGTGCCACATGCGGGGCACGCAGACCTTTGCCTGCACCCAGTGTGGCCAGATGTTATAAATAAATGAAAAACCCCTTGGCAAAGGCTGCTCAGTCACTGACCAGCACTGACTCTGCCTCACAGGGGTGAGGGTTTCAAATCTGGCCTCTGCAAGAGCTGGGGGGTGGAGATGAACCCAAAAAAAGAGAAACAGTGTCCCCTGCTCGTGTCAGCCTCCAGAGAAGGAAAGGGACGGCCTGTCTGGGCATCTCTGACTATTTTTCCTCTAGAGGAAAAACACCCCATGAATGGCTAAAGCAGCTTGAGGAGGAAAGGCTCAAAAAGCTGCAGAGGAAAGGAAAGAAAGGATCTTCCCTTTCCAGAGCAGGGTCAGGGATGCACCCCAGCACAGACTGGCTCATGGCTACTACAGGGTGGAGAGCAAGAGACACCAGGGAAGGGCAAGGTGGGAAAAAAAACAGGGGAAAGAGGAGATTCTGTCAAAATTCTGGTGGCTTCTTCAGGCTGGTGAAGTGTCTTCTCTAAGCCCAGCACCACTGCAGTTCAAAAGGCTGCCTTGATTCAAAGCCCTCAGGATGCCACATGTTGCAGGGATTAGCAGAGGGCAGATCTTACAGGGACAATGTGACTGTTTTCCTCCACTCCTGAGCAGCCCCAGGTACCAAAACCGGCACAGAAAAGGTGGGTGCCGAGCTAAAGCACCCCAAATTCAGCAAATATTCTTCTTTACATGATATATCCAGCCCCACATATCTTGTTCTCATGCCAGGATGTTTCAAGGCATGGACCAAGCAGCTCTGCAGAGCCCAGACCCATGGAGTAACCCCCCCCTAAAATGCCTCAACCACCTTCTCACCCCTTTCCAGGCAGCCAGAGGCTGATTTCTCCTCTGAGGCAGAAAAGAGCTCATTTGCCATCAACAGGCATTTCAAATCCTACCTGCAATTGCTCTCATTACCCATTAAACACTTAATCCCTCTGCGAACCTGCATAAGCTGCCAGCCTTTGCCACCCCTCCTGGCAATGACTCCTACATGTTGATTAGGCATTTTGTACAAAAGCAGCCCCTTTTTTTTTTTTTTCTTTTTAATCAGATTTAAACATGCTGCCTTCAAAATCCCTTGTAAGAACCCCAAGTCCTGCACAAGGGTAGGAGTGAAATCAGGCAGGGTGACTTCCCCAAACCTGACTGTGGAAGGGGCGTGGTAGTAGGTTTCCAATCAGGTCATGATTAGTATTGACTTTATTATCCAGAAGGCATGAAAAGACTCTTTATTATTAGAAATCTACAGTTCTTATAGGAACAGTGGTGGATCTAAGACCTGATTGGTTTTAAAGTCAAAACCTCTCATGTCACAGTCATATTTTCTGAAAAATCCCTTCACCCAGGATTTCTTCTCCTGGGAAGCTGAGAAGCCTCAGAGAAAAATGAAAAGAATAATTATCTGATTTGCTTCTCCTGTGTTTTGCTGCTTTGGAATGTGGTTTTGGAAATTGTTTATCCAACATGTGAATTGCTTTTACTTAATGACCAATCATGGTCCAGCTGTGTTGGGACTCTGGAAGGGTCACAAGTTTTTAATTAGTATCTTTGAACCCTCTGTAAGTATCCTTTCTCTATTCTTTATTATAGCTTCAGTACAGCATTCTTTAATATAATATAATGCCATAAAATAATAAATTAGCCTTCTGAGAACATGGAGTCAGATTCATCAATTCCTCCTTTGTCTGGGGACCCAAATAGCAAACACCACACTCTCACACTATTGGTGTTTATCAATAACACACTCTAGCAAACCATATCTATACACAATGGCTACAAATAGAGAGATAATAATTGTTTGAATTCTTTTCCTCTAAATTTCCCACAGTGTGTCACAGTCATATTTTCTGAAAAAATCCCTTGGCCCAGGATTTTTCTCCTGGGAAGCTGAAAAGCCTCAGAGAAAAAGGAAAACAATTCTTATCTCATTTGCTTCTCCTGTGTTATGCTCACACGTGGAATGTGTTTGGAGATTGTTTACCCACAATTTGATTGTTCCATGTCAGTTGTTTTGACTCATTGGCCAATCAGTCCCAAGCTGTGTGCGACTCTGGAAGGAGTCACGAGTTTTCATTATTATCTTTTCAGCCTTCTGTCTGTATCCTTTCTGTATTCTTTGGTGTAGTATTTTTTATTTGATATAGTATCATAAAATAATAAATTAGCCTTCTAGGAACATGGAGTCAGATTCATCATTCCTTCCTTCGTCTGGGAATCCTGCAAATACAAGACCACATCTTCTGCACAGCTTCCCAAGATTTTTCTGGGAAAGTCTGTGAATGGTGCTTTCACCAACGGCCTGCCTGGAGGATTTCTTTTATATAGTATAGTATCTTAAAATGATCAATTAGCCTTCTGAGAACATGGAGTCACTCATTCCTCCTGTCATTGGGGTTACCTGCAAATTCAACAAGCGTGGATGTGCCAAGAGGGGAAAGAGCTTGGAAAGCAGCGGGACAAGGAGGGAAGAGGGTGGCTTTGCTCACCGGTGACCTCGTCCAGGCTCTCCTTGGTGACGTGGTCGTTCTGGTTGACCCACTCTCCATTGCACTTGAAGTAGATCTGCGTGGCGGGGTTGGCGCGGCACACGAGCTCCACAGGCTTGTTCTTGACGATGTAGGCGTCCTGCGGCTCGCGCAAAAAGTGCGGCAGCGTCTCGGCCGGCGCCGACGGGAATGACTCGGGCAGCACTTCGCTGTACTCCAGCCCTGTTGGCACACAAAGGGCTCAGCAGCTGCCCCACGGCCCCTCCACACTGCTGCCTCCCTGCCCTGCACACCCACGGGGGGCTACAGCACACGAGGAGGGGTGGGAAAGCAAAAACAGCAAAGCAGCAGCTGGCAGAAACAGAGGGCACAGCCTCAAGCTGCACCAAGGGAAATATTGGTTGGATATTAGGGATAATTGATAAAAGGGTGATAAAGTACTGGAATTGTCTGCCCAGGGTGTAGTCGCCATCCCTGGATGTGTTTAATAAAGCCTGGACGTGTTTAACAAAGTGGCATTGGGTGCCATGGTTTAGTTGAGGTGTTGGGGCTGGGTTGGACTCGGTCTGGGAGGTCTCTTCCAACCCAGTCATTCTTTAAAGCAACCCAGAGCTGTGGGATCAGTCCTGTTTCACCTGGGTACTGGGCCCCATCTACACTCTCAGCCCAAAGCCGGGTGATCTCACTAGAGGACACTGCAAGGGAAAAGCAGAACAAACCCAGGTCTACAGATAGTGACAGGGACACAGAGAGGCTCCAAAGGGGCTGGTGTCCTCCACCCCACACCTCTTCCTCACAGCCCTGAGCAATGCATGGGCATGCTCCGAGCAAAATGCTGGCAGGGCTTGGACTGGGAATGCTGACCATATCCCCAGCACAAATCTGAGCCGTCCACACCTTCACTGGAGCTGCGTTTGGGATCTCACCCCCTGCCAGCACCTGGATTTCAGCATCACCCAACAGGGGAGCAACGGCTTCCAGCCCTGCCACTTCCAGAGAACATCACCCAAAGGTGCCACCAGGATTCCCAGTATCCCAGAAAATGTGGGGCTGTGCCCTGGGGAGCTCCATATCCCTGCTTGTTTGCTTTCAAAAGCCATCTAAATGCAAAAACAACTGGAGGTCGTGTCTGCTCAGGCCAGGCCAAGAAAAATCTTGTGCTCTTGTGCGTAAGGAATGTTATCCCTTAGGAGTGGGAGCCCCAGGGTGCCTCATTCCCAGCAGCAGCTTGGGAAGATGTTCTGACTGAAGCTGAGCATCATCTGCAGGAGACCTGTTTCCAGCCCATTAAGATCAACCCCAAATATCACAGGAGTAATAAAAAACCCCCACACAGGTGCACAGGAATGCTGCTGCTTAACCTGTTGTTCCTGGGAATCTCACTTGCAGTCAGGTCACATCTCGAGGCTTTTCTTTACACTCAAAGGAGTTATGAGCTTTTCCTCCTCCTCTCTTCCCCCAGCCAGAGCTGTGATTCTCAACTCCAGGCACTGCAGCATGCAGGAGAACAGTAAATATCCCCAGCCCCACGATAACATCTCCAGAGCTGGCAGGGAGAAGAAAGGAGCCCACTCCCTCCATCACCCTTGGCAAGCAGTGGTGCTGCACAGAGAGAATCAGAATCCCAAGCTCTGAGGAGGAGGAGGAGAAAAAAAATATAATCAGATGCACCAAGAGAACAAGATGACCAGGCTTCCTCCTGAGCAAAAATCAGTGAGGGAAAGAAAAAAAAAAAAAGCACGAGGTCAGTCGTTTAAAATCCATTTAGGAAAATTGACTTTCCATTTCCATTTAACACAGCACTAAGGGAGAGCGGTAGGACATTTGTCATAATCCATTAACTGCTCTTTTGGAAACAATGAATTAAACTCTGGGCTAATTTCTCTCTCTCTCTCTGGCTCTTCCCCACCTCTCTGCTGCTGGTTATTTCCTTCCCCATCTCATTTGCAGACCTGTGATTTTCCCAGGCCCCGTGGCAGGCAGGGAGACAGGGAATGCCAAGGTGTGTGACCTCCCCACCCTGAACCAAATCTTGGTAACAAAATCCCTGTGACCACCTCAGGCCACTGCTCCTGCTGGGCAGCCTTTCACTTGTCACAGCAGCAAGCATCCCTTTTTTAATCTGCCAATCAATTTTTCATCCGCTGGTTTGTTGTTCTGTTGTTTGTGTGTTGTTTTTTTTGGTTAATTTCAAAAACTGCTTTGATGCCATGGCTCTACATTTCCTGGCAAAGGGGGCTGGCAGGAGATAATCGAACTGGCAGCAGAGGCAGCCAACAAAACTTCACTCACAGGCCTGTGTGCAAACCTCCCTGATGTGAGGCTCCCTGCATCCCTGTGGCAAAGTCAGACCTGGGCTTGGCAGCTGGGAATGGGCACAGGTATCCTTAGGAGCCAGTTTTTGGGAGGATCTTCCCCTATGGAGGTGACACCCCAAGTGCTCATGGCCCTGATTCAAATCCGCAGGCCAGGAGGGGAGATCCTTCTCCAACAGCCAGCAGCAAGGATGTGTTTTCTCCCACCTCATCACCACCCTGGTGATGCTGAACAAGACTTCAGGTCATCCAAGAGGAGCAGGGAGCTGGGAGGGGATGAGTCACAGCCGGATGGGGATGGAAATCTGGATTTGTGACTCACTGGGATCGTCGGCACGGGAAGGGTGAAGGCTGCAGTGGAGCCACCTGGGCCCCCAGAACAATGCTTGGGGCTGAGACACTCCTGGTGGCACCAAAAATCCCATCCAGACCCTGCTCCAAGAGGGGCCCTGCCCAAATTAATGCTGAGTCTTTAAGGTTCTTCTCCATGTGGGCACAATGACTTTGGGGATGAAGGTGGGGTGGGCACAGTGACTTTGGGGATGAAGGTGGGGTGGGCACAGAGACTTGAAGGTGGAATAGGATGGTGTCACCAGCCAGATCCAACATCTCCTTTTGGTGGCTACAAAAACCTGCTGGATTTGAGGCTTGAACCCAAAACACCCGAACCTTTTAAGCCAGGAGCATGTTGGGAAGGTTAAAATCCTGCAAACTCATGACAGCTGAGGGATCTCTTGTGTCTGGCCAAGAAAGATATGAGGCCAAAAAAGCAGCTCTAACAGGAGACAAGGATGATGGGTTGTTCATGGCAGACTCACAACTGGGGCCATGCCATAAGAGCCCCAAACCCCACAGATTCCCCAGACTCATGGATGGGAGTAAATCAAGGGGAGGGTGATTTTTCCATTCAGAAATTAGCTGGGAAAAAAGCATTTGCAGCTGGGCAGGGCGTTTTCCTCCAGCATGAAACGCTCACTGCTATTTAAACACGCTGGGGAAGAATTAAGGCGTAGTAACAAGGGGGACTCTGGATGAGAAAAGGGAGGAGAAGCATGCTGGGCACATTTATCACAAGCCATCACAGCAGCCTTTCATCCCCACTGCCACCCGCTGCATGGGAAACCTCTGCCTCTGCCGGCACTCATGGGGGCCCCCAAAAATCCACACTGGGGGGAGGAACACGCTGCTTGTGCAGAGCAACTGCTGCTGCTGCTGCTGTGAGCCCTGAGTGCCCAGCAACAACTGCAAAGCCCAGAAAAAGGCACTTTCCCAGCAGTGCAACTGCACCGCCCGCAGAGGCCACGGCAGCTCCGGTGCCACCCGGGTGACACTGCGGCCCAGTGACCCGCAGGAGCAGCAGGCAGGGGAGATGCTTTTGCATGGGAAAGCAGGAAAGGAGCCCTGCACAGCCGGGATTTCCAGCCCTGCAATCACACCAGCAGTAAAACTCCCAGCAGTGACAAACTAATAAATATTTGAGAGCGCGCTCCGCTGCCTGTAATCATCTCCCTGGCAGACGTCTGCAGGGGGTTCCCATCTGCTGGCTTCCCTCCTTCCTGCTGGAGGTGGGTGCCTGCTTCCCAGATCTCTTCTGGGGGCTTTTTTTGGAAATTCCAGGCTGTCACCATCCCACAATCTCACACGACTTTGGGGCACGGCGTTCTGGGGTGTCTGGAGTACTTTGTGGGCAGGGAGAGACAAAAAAGAGGGGGCAGCTCCCAGCTCAACCCACGGGACCAAATCCTGAAGCCTGCAGTAGGAGCAAGGAGAGGAAAAGGGAGGAGGGGAACAGGCACTTCTTTTCCTCTCCCCATCCCTCATCACACATTTTAATCTGCCGGGGCTGAGCTGGATTATCTGCAGCATCTGTTCCCTGGGGGTGATTTGCAGATGTTTGCCGCCAGCCTTTGCAACTTTGTTGAGACCCACGACCCCAAACCCACTTCACGCCCCTAAAAGGAGGAGCACCAGGGTGGGATCCAGCCTTAACCCCCCCTCCATCACATCAAATATGTGCCACTGAGGATGGTAAGCCCAGGAAGCAACTCCCCCTGCAGCAATGGCCAAGCAAACCTCCCCAGGAAAGCGTTAAAATCCTCTCTCCTGCAATTGTTATCCCTCCAAATATTTGGAAGATTACAGGAGCATTAGTGGCTGCCCATCAGCCAGGGCCACCCCTCCCTCCTGCCGGTCCCAGGCAGGCAGGGAAGGATGGAAGGATGCAGGGATTAGGCTGGGATGCCTGGGTTTCTCCAGCTAAATCTCATGGCTGTGGATGCTTAACCCCTTCTGCCTCCACCTCCCCACGTCCCTGAATGCCTCAGGGCTCCTGGGAAGGCCTGGCAGGGAAGAGTTAAACCTGCCAGGTGGGTTAAAATCCTCCTGGAGAGATGAAAAAATACATGACAGCTTATCTGCAGCGCCACAGGAGGAGTCATGTGCCTTCCCAATCCTCCAGCAGGGATGGGAATGGCTCTGGCTCCTGAGACAGGGATGGAGGGGATGCTCCAGCACCAGCTGGGCTCCAGGAGGTGTCTGGAAGGGAAGTGGGGCTGTCCCCCTCCCCAAATCCCCCCTCCCTTGCCTCCAGGGAGAATGAGAACAGGCTCGTTTAGAGATTAGTGCTGCTGCCATTTCAACTCCAGCACATTGTGACACTGGAGCCATGGCATGGCTGCCTGCCATTCCAGAATCCCTGCCTGGCTCAGGGCATCCCTGCTGGGACACCAAGGCATCCCACCACATCCCAGCCCATCCCTGAGCTCAGGGGGAGCTGCCATCACCAGTCCAGGCCTGTCCTGTTCCCATGGGCTGCCATTGGGACAACTCTGTGTTCCAAAGTGGTGACACCCCCACAAACTTCCCCTCCTAAAAGCACCCTGAGCATCTTCCTCCCACACACACCATCCTCTCTTCCCCAAGCACTCCCTCCTCACCCTTGCTCTGCCTCCCACACACCCAGGGGGCCCCAAACAATCAGCCCCATCTCTGGGGAGGTGCCAGCAGCAGGTGCCACCTTCAAAGGCGTCGTCTCCATGAGGTGGAGCAGTGCCACACCAAGCCACAGCCCCTTCTCAGCAGTCACATCCCACTGGAGACACAGCAGGAGAAAGGAGGACTCTCAGGGCTCTGGCTGCTCACAGTGACCCCAAGATTTCATAAAGTCTCTTTTCCCAGCCCAGCAGTTGCAGAAGGAGTCAGAGCTCTTCAGTTCTCCGTCTCAAGGTTGTTTATTGTTCCTTATCTGTAAAATTCTTTCTCCTGTCCAGCTGAGGTCTGCTCAGCACGACAGTCCAGGCACTCTGCCTGCCCTCAGGGCAGTGTTATCTTCTTATACTAAAACTACGTGTACAATATTTACAGCTACTTTCCAATACCTATCACCCGTGTTAGACACTGAGCTTCTACTCTAAACCAATCCAAAAGTGCCACCATCACAGCAGAAGATGGAGGCCAAGAAGAAGAAGGAGAAAGGCTGGACACACCCAGATCCCTCCATCTTGCCCCCTGAACCCCCATACCAAAACCCCCAAAATCTACTTTTTCACCCCATGATAACTTCACTATCATTCTACTTAATTTGTCATGGCTTTCAGATCTTCATGTATGGTTGGCAATTTGCTCCATGGGTCATAATCAAAGTCACAGGTGTCTGTGCCAGGGTCTCTGAGCCCCCTGGCAGGGCTCTTGGCACTCCAGGAGAGCAAGAGGGATGTGCTGAATTCCAACAGAGGACAACCCAAGATGCAGGCTGGAACTGAGCATGGCTTAGGGAGATCTGAAGGCACCCACGTTCACTCTCTCCCTGCTGCCTCCTCACACAGATCCCACAAACCCCTGTGCCTCCAGCAGCCTGGGACTGCTCAGGCACAGGCTGGGAAGTGCTGAGTGTGAGATGCAGGGAATGTAACAGGTCCCCAGGGCTGCAGCTGGCTGATGTAAGCCCCGGCCTCATTAACTCAGTGTGGCTCATTAACCTCTCCCTCCCGGGAGGGGACAGCCCCAAGCTGCCAGCACAAGCCACAGAGCTGAGTGTGGAACCTTCAGGAAAACCTGTGGCACCCAGCACCCGGGTTCATTCCGGTTCAAAGTCAAAGGAAGGAAATTTCTGGAAGTTGTTCTTCCTTGTGAGGGTGGTGGAACAGGTTGCCTGGAGAAGCTGTGGCTGCCCCTGGGTCCCTGGAAGTGTCAGGCCAGGCTGGATGGAGCTTGGAGCAGCCTGGGATGGTGGAAGGTGTCCCTGCCCATGGTGGGGGCTGGAAACCCACAATCTCTAAAGGTCTCTTCCAACCCAAAATATCCCATGAGTCTGCCCCACCTCCAGGCTGGAATTTGAGCTGAAAAACCCATGAGGATGTGTCACAGACATCTTTTATGAAAAATCATTTCCTGAGGATTTTTCCTCCTGAGAAGCTGTGAGGCCTCAGGAACAAAATGTAAACAGTGGTTACCTGCTGCTGTGGAATGCAACAGGTGCATCTGTGATTGGTCTCATGTGGATGTTTGTAATTAATGGTAAATCACAGCCCAGCTGGCTCGGACAGAGAGCCGAGACACTAACCTTTGTTATCATTCTTTGCTATTCTATTCTTAGCTAGCCTTCTGATGAAACCTTTTCTTCTATTCTTTCAGTATAGTTTTAATGTATTATATATCATAAAATAATAAATCAAGCCTTCTGAAACATGGAGTCAGATCCTCGTCTCTTCCCTCATCCTCAGACCCCTGTGAGCACGGTCACAGGGATGCTGTGTTTATGGGGTGATCACCCTTGTGCCCCCAACCTTGGTAATTCTGCAGGGGCTGCACAGAAACCCAGCCCCCAGGGTGCTGCTGTGCCCAGGGTGTGCAGAAGGTGTTGTTCTACCTCTGTGCCCCTCCAAAGACTTGAGTCCATCCCCTCTTTCTCCCACCAGCCAGGAAAAGCAGCTGCAATCTGCATCTGGCTTCTCCATGCTCACCACTCTTATTAACAACTAAACCTGGAAAGAACCACTTAACCTTTCTCCCAAGCATCTCTGCCTGTCAACTCGCTCCTTTTCCTCCACTGGCTGCCCTCTTCCAGTCCCTTCCTGCCAAACCTGGCACCATCCAGCCCCATCCCTCCATCCCAGGGCCTCCAGCTCCTCCCAGAGCCCACCCAGCCCGAGAGGGACGGACAGACAGGCATTTCCCAGGACAGACAGGCATTTCCCAGCAGGTTACAAGTCCCTCCTGTCCCTCCTGCCCGGCGACAGGCAAACTTGATAATTAGAGAGCATTCCTCCCCAGCCTGGGTAATGAGGGGGTGCACCCAGCCAGCCCTAATTACACCCTTGGAAAGAAAGAAAAGAAAATAAGCAGATTCCTCCTCTCCCAGCCAGAGGAAGAGCCTGCAGCTGGCCTCCCTGGCTGCATACCTCTATTAATCCAGGACTGGATGGGGACAGGGAAAGGAAAAAAGAAAGCAAAATCTGTGCTGAGAAAAGGGTGGGAAGGAGGAGCTGGGCAGCCCCACAGATATTCCTGCATGAAACAGCCTTGTTGATCAAAAGCCACCTCACTTATATAAATAAATATAAAAATAAATCAACTTTTTAGCTAAATCCTCAGGTCAGGTTTTGGCAAAGCAGCCTGAGAGGTAAACTAAGGCAGGGGGACCTCACATAGGGTATCCAACCTCAGCATCATGGGCATCCTACCACAGCATCCCTAGACATCCCACTGAGCATCCTGGCATCCCACCACAGCATCCCTACGCTCCTTCCAGCCTCAGCTAAGAGTCCTACCCAAATTCCAGCCATCCCCAATCCCCCAAGGATTGAATACCCCAAATTCCAACCATGCCCAATCCCCCAAGGATTGAATACCCCAAATTCCAACCATCCCCAATCCCCCAAGGAGAGAAACACCCAGGCTCTGGCAGCACCTCCCATCCTGGGAGCTGGAAAGAGAGAGATTTATCTTGTTGGTTATGCATTACACTGGAGTATTTATGGAGCCACTACTCTTTTGTTTATCTTTATGATTATGATAATCAAAGGAGAAGCCTCCTGAGAAGTGTAAACAGCTGAGATCCCTTATGGTAAAAATCTCTTCATTTTTCATTAAATGGATTTACAACACGACACAGGCAGATTGGTGTAAATTGTTCCTCATTTCTGCTTTTAGCGGCGCCATAAGCTGCGCGGATCCCCGTAAATACCCACGGAAAACAGAGTGAATTCAAATCAAAAAAAAAAGAAAGAAAGGAAGAAAAAAAAGGAGGAGAAATTATGCAGCAAATCCCTGTTACACTCTATTGTGCTGGCTTCTTTTGTGCTGTTTTATACATTCCCTTCAGGGAAGCAGTTTTGTTGGAAAACTATCTCCAAATTTCATCTAGCGCTGGTTCTTGTTACGGGCACAGACACTTCCCTTTGTGCTATTTTAATTCCATTGTCACGGTCCTCTTGTCGGGTTTGTTCTGTTTACTGAGCTACAGCGTTGTTTTTAATGGATATAATAATTATATGAACTTTTTATTTATTTTCTTTGGCCCATGAAAGGAAAGCCCCAGCAGCGGAGAGGGCGGTAACGCGCTGTTTATTCACATGTACAGCGTGTGCTGGGCTCCTGTTGTGAAAAGAATAATCATTTCAACAAGAAAAGAGAGAAGGGAGAAGAAAACAAGGAACAAACAGGGACTTGTCGCCCTGGTTAACGCCAGAAAGTCCAAAGAATTATTAATTATCCTTCAAACTGCAGCAAACTCCAACTGGAAGCTGCGAGCTCTCCTTGGAAAACGCAGAGAAGGAAATAAAAAAATAATTTTAAAAAAGAGTCTCCTGTTCAACTGAGCACTGCAGTTTGGAAAAATGCTAACTCTGGGAGAAAGAAAGTCCATGGTTTTGCAGACAGAGAGCAATCTCCCCTTCACCCAAATTGCATACATATTTCAAAATGTAAATTCCCCAGCGTTCCCCTTGAGAGTGCAACTTTCAGGAGGCTGTTTTGCAACGGGTGGGTTTGATTTTTCCCCTGAACGTGCAAATCTGAAGGCGACTTTGGGCACAAAAAGTGATTTTAAAACAGCAGCAGCAGCAGCAGTGGGAAAGGCTGTGCTGTGAACCTGCCAGTGCTCCTTGGGAAGAGAGGGATGCTCTGCTGCCCACCGGGCATCCCTCCCTGGGCACGCACATCCCACAGGACCACGGGCTGGAGGGAGCAGCTTTCACCCTCTGAGCACCCCATCGAGGTGGGGACAGCCCAAACAGACCTTCTCAAAGTGGCTCACAAGGTTTGGTACTCCTGGGTGGTGGCACTTCAGTCCCAAAATCCAGGAGGCGGCTGAGCATGTCCCACCCCGAGGAAGCCGAACGAGGTGAAGCAAAAAGTTGAGGCAGCAAAGGAGGGAAGAGAAGTACAAAAGGAACAGAAAGCTGGGGGAGAGGGCTGTGTTTGGTTTTGGGAGGGTTTTTTTCCCACCCATCCTTTTTGTCCTTCTCTCACCCACTCTCTCCTCGCGGGAAGCCAAGGCTGGCTGGAAGGACGCTCCCCGCCGCCTCCAGCCAGCCTCTCTCTCCCTGCAGCCCCTCACCAGCTGCTGCCCTACTTTTCCCGACGCTTTTCCCACTCTTCTCCCGCAGCTCGCTCGGTGGCAGGCGTGGGCTGGGAGCAGCATTCCTCTGCTGCACCTCCAGAGGCTTCCTGTGCCATCGAAGCCGGCCCAGCATCACCTCCCGCCCTCCAGCCCAGCCCAGGGAGGCGCTGCCAGCAACGCTGCCCTGGTCTGAAATCATTTTCATCACCATGTTATTATTAATATTATTATTTAATCACAAAAAAGAACAACTAGAGGAAAGGTCCGCTCCGTGCCTCAAATTCCCCATTAATTCAGCTGGGGGAGGAACATCACAGGAGAGGCTGATTAAGGTCCCTTTATTAAACAGTCTTTAAAGTTGCCCTTAATCTTTCAGATTTGTTGCCATGATAAAAAAAAAGCCCCGACAACAACAAAACAGTCACCACAAATGGAGGCTGGAAATATTTTGCTTTTTTTTGTCCTTTCTCTGTCCTTTCCTTCCCTTCTCATTTTACTGCGGGGGAAAATAGAAAGAAAAAATGGGGGGAGGGGGAGAAACAGGGATAGAAAAAGATTTAAGGAAAAAAAATAATCCCTGCTGATGCTGAATGTCAAATATTAAGATTTTTCTCTCTCTCCCCCCTCTTTCAGCAATATCCTTATTAAAGAATAAGCCCCCAAAGCACCAGTGAGTGTAGCTTAGATGACAAGGCTCCCCCATCCCCTTTTCTGGGCTAGGGATTTGATCCCTGAAGCCAGGAGCAGGTGGGATGGGGGCAGGTACCTCAAGCCCATCGTGGCTTCCCCTCTGTGGCACAAAGAGAGGTGTCCAGCCAGTGGCAAAAGGATTTCAGCCATCACCTTGATTAGTTTTACTCCTTTCCCTCTAAACCCCGCAGCCAGCTGGGCTCCCAAACTCACACCTGCTTTAACACAGAGGAAAAAAGCTGTGGTTTGATAAAAACCATGAGGTTTGGGGGTTTTTCTGGGGAGCACGGAAGGAAAGCCCCACAAAAAACAAAGCCTTTTCTCCTCAGGCTCCATTTCCAGGGAGGTGGGGAGCCTCCAGGAGCTTCCTAGTGTTGTTTGGCACCCTCCTCCCCTCTCGGGCATTTCAATTCCACTGGACCCTGTGTCACCACAGGTTTCTTCCTTTCTCACCACTGGGAATTTCCACCTTTTCTTCTCTGGACAGAGCCCATGCTCCCACACCACCAGGCTTCTCTTTCCTCCTTTTGTCCTCTGGCACACCCATTCCAAACTAAACTCCTGGGTTGCCCAAACTCCCACAAGCATCCTTTTTGTCTCAGCACGGGTACCAGGCTGGAAATGCCCCAGTTTTGGGGGTCTGTGCCACCCTCTGTGGGTGGGACTCCCCTGGAAGCATCCCTGATGATGCTGCAACAAACCAACACTTCTTCCCACACCATCCTCTCCCTCTGCTGGTATTGACACCAATACCTTGAGACCCCAAGGCATTGATAAAAATTGACCTTCAAAATACACAATGCTGCCAAGTAAAACAAAGTTTGGCACGTTGAATTCCGTGACAAACACGCTGAGCATGGCTCTGGTGGGTGCAGGACATGCCAGGCACAGCAGTGGAACAGCTCCTGCAGGGCTCAGGGGCACCTCTGAGGGCAGAGACACTGGGCATCCCTCTGCAGCAGTTTTTTATTATCATGCTTTTTTAGCTTTCTGATGTTTCCTTTCTCTCTTTCTTTTAGTACAGTTTTAATAGATCATTTTCTTTTAATGTCATATGTATCATAAAATAATAAATCAGCCTTCTGAAACATAAGAGTCAAGATTCTCATCTCTTCCCTCATACTGGAGACCCTCAAACACCACTGCATTTAGTGACCCTGAGTGAGTGACACCCCACATTGGGCATCCACCACAGCATCCTGGGTGTCACTGAGATATTTTATGAAAATCTTTTCGCCAAGATTTTTCTCTTGAGAAGCTGAGACGCTTCAGAAACTAACTGTAAACAATAACTGATAGTTGTAAACAATAATATCCCGGGCATCCCACCACAGCATCCTGGGCATCTCTCTACAGCATCCTGGGCTTCCAGGTGATCCACAAACTCTCATGGGAGCAAAGGCAAAGGGTCACCCATACGGAACGTCATGGAAAAAGCAGGGAAAATCCCGGTGCCCACCAGCCCGGTCCTTTTCCCCCGGCTGTCCCGCAGCGGCTGCATTTCCATAAACGATTGGCACTAATTGCTTTAACCATGGGGGCCGTGCTGCGGGTAATGGGAGTCATTGAGTGACCTCTGCGCCCGGGCCAGCCCCGGCTCCCATTTACTCCTGCCCAGATCCCTGAATGTCCTCTCTGCCCTGCCCTGCAGCCTGTGAAAAATGTGCATTTTCTGACTGGCTTTTTGCAAATATTCAAATGAATGTTATATGTGTTGTGTTAGAAAGTTATGCTGCATTCATTCTCTTAAGTAGTGTGTTAAATATAGTTTTAGGTTATAACATAATGTTAAAATAGAAACTATGCTCTGTAAGGTACTTTTTTTTAAAGAGAGGACTTGTAGGAAGATAGTATCCACAGGACACCCAAATCTTTCAGAGAAAGAGAATTTATTGCTCCATTATCGAGTTCTTCCCACCTTGCTCAGCCCTGAAGGTTCAGTCAGGATTCAGAGGAAGAAGCTGACACTGCCCAGACAGAATCCTGTGTTTGAATGGAATTTATCCATCATGGATGAGGTGTATGAATATGCAACAGGCTATTGCTTTTAAGGGTTAATCCTCTGTTAACGTGGCTCCTTTTTCAGGCTTATTTTGCCCAGAAAGAGGTACCTGGACTGTCCATAACTCTTTGTTCTTATTGTCTTGTATTGTCCTAAAGCCTAATTGTCCAAATTTTTATTACTCTAATTATATTATTATTTCTATAACCATTTTATTAAACTTTTAAAATTTAAAACCAAGTGATTGGTGGTTTTCACACTGCCCCTGATTCCTGATCCCATCAGGGATGGATCCTGAGGATTCCTGCTTGGACTGGCAATGCCACATACAGTGACTTGTCACCAGGACTGCCAGCAAACCCAGCGCTGGGTTGGGTTCAAACCAAACGTGTACAAGAACTTGGAAACATCAAAATCCTCCCCAGACATTTTCTGAATACAGGAAAAAAGTGTTGCCCCATCCCCATCCTGGGGGAAGAGCCAGCTGGCATTGGCCAGGGGACATGGGGCTCCAAGGCTGTCCCATCTCTGCAAGTGTCCCAGGCCAGGTTGGACAGAGCTTGGAGCACCCTGGGATAGCACAGGGAGGCTGGAAAATCCCTTGAAGGTACCTTCCAATCCCAACCATTCCATGCTTCCACCAACACACAGCACACCCAACCCCTGCAAGCACAGTTAAAACTGAAAAAACCCCAAAATGCTCCTTTGGAACCCAAACACCTCCATCCCAAGGAGATGGGAGCTCAGACCCCACAGCAGGGGTGCCTCTCACACACCTGACATCCAGGCTGGGAGGGTAAGGAAACATCCATGCTTCCAGGAAAATGCACTGCAGCCCCCTTGCTGCCAGTCCACAGGGACCCATTACACTAACAGTGTGTCCATTCAGCCTGATATATAAATTACTAATGTAAATTAATGGATAATTGAAGCCTTTAGTCCTAAATATTTAAATTATTTAACAGGCAATTAAGAGCAAAGGAGAAAGAAAAGAGGAAAAGGGGCCTTAACCCCAACAGGCAGAAAAAAAATATAAATGAGGTGTGAGGAGAGCAGAAAGAGCTGAGTACACACATTTGGATGGGAAGCTGCCACGTTCATTTTGTTTGAGCCAGGCTGGTGTTACAGTGGATGCCCCCAGGTCCAGGGGGGCAGGGAGAGGAGCATTCACCAAACAACCCCACAGAGCAGGGCAGATTGTGATCCTCATCTTTTCCACAGAGAAAAACTTCATGGCTTTGTCACAGTGATTACCAGAACTTCCTGGCATGCCACAACAATACTTTTAGATAATTTTTTTCATCCTCCCTACCCCTAATTCCGTTTTTTAATACCATTCCTGACTCCTTTTTTAACATGATTCAAGTACAAACACATTTATTTCACGTGGTTTCACTTTCTTTTTCCTTTTTCAGGTGGTCTACACGGCTGTTTCACTCTCCAAACATCCTCAGCCAGGCAAGGTGATTACAATTCCTCGCAAAGGCAATCCTGCAGGATGCTGGGTGTCACCACAGGTATTCTGCAGAGCCCTCCTAACAACACATTGACAGGCTGGGGCTGAGAAACGAGGTGTTTCCTCCTCCAGCCTCCATGCCAAACTGCCCAGTGATATTCCCAGCGCTTCCCTGGGAGCTGGAAGGGGTCATGAGGAAAAATGGTCCATGGAGGGAAGACGTCATGTGGGAAAAACAGGATTTTAACAAAAGCGGAGCGTGAGGCTGAGTGAGGCTGTGTGTGCCCAGGGACGGCACCGAGGGCAAGGGGGGACCAAGACAATAGTGAATAGACTCCAGATTATATCCTGAACTCACAGCCCCACGGGAACAGGGTTATAAAAACCCTTTTTATTTTGTTTGTAGTCCAAAACAAACAAGTACATAAAAAGCTAAATGCGGAGAGGCCAGACAGGAAGTGAGTAACATCTGGGAAACATCTGGCCCCGGCTGCGCCGGCACAGCTCCGGGTACCTGCTCCCACAGCTCCCAGCCAGGGCAGGACCCCAAAAATCTCTGCTCCAAAAGGGGAAATGGACACCCCAAGCAGCACAGGACACCCTGGCACACAGCTCTGGGTGTCCCCTGAGCACCAGAGGACCTCTGAGAAGGGCTTGGAGCATTAAGGGTGCCCTAAACAGTGCAAGATGATCCAGGGCTCTGAATATTGCAGGGCTCCCTCCTAAAAAGGGCTCTGAGCATCTCAGGGCACCCCCTGAGCATTGCAGAACATCCCCTGAACAGGGCTTTGAGCATAAAGGATGCCCTGAGCAGTGCAGGACACCCTGCTCCAGGGCTTTGAGCACCACAGGCCAGCCCTGAGAAAGGTTCTGAGCAATAAAGGATGACCTGGGAATTTCAGAATTCTCTGGTCCAGGGCTCTGAACATCCCCTGGGCACCACAGGAACCTCTGACCATTAAGAATGCCCTAAACAGTGCAAGGAATAGTGATCCAGGGCTGATCAACATTGATCCCTGATCCAGGGCTCTGAATATTGCAGAGCTCCCTCCCAAAGAAGGCT